TCTAGGATTGATTAAAATTTGGTATGCCCCCCTGAACAATGAGGCCACTGACTATGAATTGTTGTTGTCACAATGTGTGGGTATGAATAACTGGCTAATCAATGCGTGTTCCTTGCCGATTGCCCATTACCCAAAGATCCACCACCCATTTTATGTCTCATGAATAGTCAGTCTGACCCCCCTCCACCACTACCACCACTTCCTTCCTGTGTCCTATTCCTCCACAATCCAAGATGTGACAATTTCTTTTATATTTGCAATTAAAAAATGTTTTGAAAATCACAGTCAACTTTCAGCTTTCACCTCCAACAGAAATTTGTTATACCACTTTTACCTGAGCATGGCGGGATTTGTGGATGAACTTCCATGCGAGGAAAAGAAACCTGACAGCCACCACTACAGGCAATCAAACATGAGCTTATTTAATATGGCCTTCCAAATGCAATGAGACTTCTTAAAGAAAGGGCAGGGAGAAAAATACACCATTGAGAAATAGACAAAGGCTGGGGTTCCATGGCAAATATTAAAGCCCTCTTTTGTACTTGTCTTTTCCAACGCAGGACTTATTATAATGGCATTCAGGAGGGGATCATAAAATCAATAAGTTTGGATGTTTGAGCAAACTTTCCACTTCCAAAGAACAGGCAGGATGCTGCCAGTGCATCCTGCAGATAATAGAAATGGTAGAGGTGTTTGCGATGGGCAAACACTGCTTCATTTACTGTGACCAAAACACAGTTTCCATAAATCATACTTCACCATCATTCACTGAGGAACACCTTTCAACTGTAACCATAGAAAAATGTAACGATTGTGAGTTGCACCTTGCATTTTCTTGGAGCAACTGTTCCTTTTCTCACTACTGTACATGTAGGGCCAATCCAATACTTTACCACACTGAACACTTGCTCGAACTGTTTGTACATGCTCAAAACTGGCTACACTGGTTACCTACACTAGTCGGTATTAATACTAATTTAACATAAAGAAACATGCTAAATGGATTCCATCCTCAACACAATACAGATTTTGCACACAAAATGTTTCTCCTTGGTAAAGATCTACAAAAATGATAGGCCTGAGGCTTCTGGACATGTGTGTCAGCATTATCAGGCCAAAGTGTCAATGTTGTGTAAATGCACCAAAATAAGATTGAGAAATATGCCGACTAAAACACTTTCACTTCCTACCACAATCAGCCTTTGCGACCTGACAGCTGCTACGCAATGTTTTCACTTTCATCCATGCCCATTTTAGGCACCAGCGAGAGCTACATGTACATTTGTGAGGGCAAGACAAAATATGTAAAAAAAAAAAAAATGGCCAGGCTGTATCGTTGGCTGTTGTGAAAACTGTGCCATTTCTAAATGTCCACAGGTTCTGACAGATACAAAAATGGATAAATCCATGCCCGTCAGCCATGAAAGCCCAAAAGATGTACATTAAAATCACACTGATATTGGCCAAGTGCAGACAATGAATGTGGATCTCATTATTATGGCGAGTTTCATCCCTATCCCCCTCCCCAACCACCTTCCCAAAATCTGATTGAAGATCCCGCAGATAAGCTCCATCTTGGCCACAAATGCATCTTCATTAAGCCAAAATTTGGAGCAGGTGTAATCACAGGAGAAACACACTGGGCTGCTGAGCGGGTGCATCCCCCTAGGGTCCATATTATGGAAACTGGCGGGGCTGGGAGGAGATTAAAGGGCAATTGCCTGACGATTTGGCAGGTTGCTGCCAGTGCAACGACTGGAATTTGGAAATGGGATTCCAGAAAATGCAGTCTGACACAGCCAGCTTAAGTACACATAGGTGTACATCATGTGCGGCTGCACTTGCATCTAACAGAAACAGAAAGACCCGATTGTGAGACTGAAGAGAACTGATTTGATGCAGATGTTCTGTATAATGTACACATACATGTAACTGGAATAGGCAAACAATTTCTGGGACAAACCATATGCAAAATGAACAAACTCTGACTGAGAGAAATACTTTGAATGAAAACCTGACTGACCTCTGACGAAATACCCCAATATCAATAGGCAAGATGATAGTTCTGCTTTAAACACATTTACTATTTTCATTCATCCAGGTGAAATTCCTTCAGCCCTGTATCATGTTATTTGTTACACAAAAATAAACTGTAGAATTCTCTCCAAATTAGGAGAGCAAAAAAATACAAACTTGCAACCGATTCAAAACATCAAATTTGCTTCTTCTTTTTGCAGACAACTACGCTGCAAGTAGGCAAAGTGCAGTAAATCTAGTACTTCCCCTGTGGAAATATTTACAGCGACAAATGCTCAAATGTGCACCACTTACTATAGGGTATTAAATGCTGCCCTACCCACCACATGCTCACAGTTTGGAACAGAGACGCTTCTTCGGTTTTAGGGGTACAAATGATGCCATTCCCTTTTCAAAGGAAGTGAAAAAGACAAAGTTCTGTTACTTGTTGACACCATTTTCTATATCAAGATCTTTTGTCAAGTGGCACTCGTCCAGATGCCACAACCATGTGACGGGACTAAGCACAATTTTCTCCGAACTCTAGCACAGACTTCTCATTAACATTACATGACTATCTGAAAAGTAAAGAGGGGAACTTGTTAAATGAATGACAGAATTTCCCATTCAGTAAGTCGCCAAATGGTTGTATTGAGCACTTTTGTGCGACACCACGTCTGACAAAGTAATATCCTCACAAAAGTAATTTTCCCAATTTCGACTCTTCTGGCAAAAACTTTGTATTCAAGCACTTTTGCAGTTGTTGGTAAAAATGCAATTTGTGCTTCAACTTTCCCAGATATTTAGGAGGAAGAGATGGTGGAAAGAAGTAATGGTGCAAAAATATGGAGATAACTTAACAGAGGGGAATTCTCCATTAGGTGCACACAACCCAACTTAATGCAGGTGAGTCTTTAACAAACTTTCATGGCCATTTTGTAAAAATTTCTCAAGCCCTCAATTTCTAAAGACGCTGCAACAAAAGGAAACCAAATACCTGCAACCATATAAAATATCCGGAGGGGCGATATGTAAGTCTTTCAATACAAACATTTCTTTTTTTCCCCCTCTTTCTTTCTTTTTTTTTGGTTATTTCTTATTCAATCCAACCAGCTGTGTCAGAGAATGCCACACCGAACAAATACAATCACTTTTTGTTTATATTTCCAGTGGAACAGAATCCATTCCCCATTCTTGTGGGCTTCATTATTTTTTAGGGGCAGGCCATACAATAAAGAATCCCGCTCACTCTCAGATTACATTGCCAGCATTTTAAGAGTTGAATTTGATTTTGAGCAAACACATAACGCATCTGTGGCACACAATAGCCGTTACTTACAGCTTTATGACAGCATAAATGCCCCCCAGTTGAAGGCAGGGTGCTTTTCAAACACTCATAAATTTGTTTATGAAAAGCCAGAGGGGCCCTATATGAGGCACAGGTTTGATTAATTTGTGTAGGTAGAGCAGCCGATCAAGAGTTGGGAGTAGAAGTGAATGTAGCATTTCCAAGAACAACGTTACTCACAAGGTCCTTTTACTTAGTCTTTCCTACAGGGTTACACATGATGCAAATGACCAAGTCCACAGTACAACAGAAATGGAAAATGTTGCGTTTCAACTCAACCCAAATGAACATTCAACCCAAAACTTGCTGAAACCAACAAGTTTCCAATTATTTCCTTGAGATTTTGTAAAAGTCTTCAAATCAGTGAACATGGGAAGTTTAGCCATGTGGAAAACTTTTAGCAATTTGCATGATCAGAGTCATTTAGTAGAAGATGCCTGAAAATAAGAAGCTCTATCTTATGACGAACCAATGGGAAACCAAATAATCCAGTGATGAGCCCCCAAAATACTTCTGTACAGTACAAATAATGAAAAGAAACAGTGGATAAAGGACCTTCTTATTAAACACAAACCACTTTTCATTTTGACAATACTTCAATTTCTGAAGCAAGTTCGCCTTTTCTGCTTTTGGGAGTTTGAAATTAGCTTACAAAACTTTTCAAAACACTCATTTGAACAAAAAAAGTCAATTTACAGATTAAGTACAAGTTGTATTTTCAACATTTCAAACATTTCACTGTACAAAATGAAATCTATTTTCACCCATTTATATTCTTCAGCAACAAATATAACACTTTAAATTCAGTATTTAACCACACAGAGAAACCTAACGACAATTTATGAAAATCTGAATTAAAAAAAGAACACATTGAAAGTATGAATTCTTCTAAATCATCAACTTGTCCCTACTACTGCGAGTACATCATACTACATGTAGCAGTCCTGAACCACAGAATCCCTGAATCTGGCAAAAATGTGGACTAAATATGCCAAAATGAGAAATGTTTCAGATGGTGCAAAGCATGCCGACTTGATGTTCACATTGCTCCACTGGAAAGAAATTATTAAGTTACAACCACGCCATAACCTAAAAATGTTTCTGAATGGAAGGTAAATGGAAAATTGGGGATACGGGAATCAAGTCCACTAAATAGCAAGATGTTACCTGAAGATTATGAAAATGCTCTACGGAGTTTCGAGAAGCAAGCGCAAAGGGTCCGACTTACGAATGAAAGATACCGACTTTTCTCTCAATAACTTGGGGCAATCCGCGGCGCAGATCCCCATTCAACACAGGACGAAATTGGCAACCTGCCGGTCCGAGACACCACAGGTTGCGGCCGTCTCCGGGCCGGACAGACCACGGGCAAGAGTGGGTTATGACTGGCAAGCCAGGAGCAGTTTACTGACTCCCCGGGAAACCCCAACTAAACATGGTCTGGCTACGCCGTTCATTCACTCATTGACACATTCACTGTCAAAAAACAGCAAAGGAACAGAAGGGTCTCCGACATCGCACGCACCCATGTGTAATATACACAATAATGTGCGGTATCACTGGATTACGGGAAGCTACTAACTAAGATCAGGCGGGGAAGAAAAAAATGATCAGAGGGCTAAGCAAAGCCACCTACCGTTTTCCAGAGCCGCTGGTAGCTCGTGTTCCGAACCGATGTGCTGTGGGTTAGCCTGCTTTCGGCGAGACATGGTTCACTATCCCTCCTTCTCGGATGAGCTTGGCTGTCCGTGAGGCCCGTGGGGCGAACCGGAACGGTACGGTACTCTTATCCCGGGCTGGCCTGACGAACTCGACTGATGACAGTGACAGGCCGCATTCATCCACTAGTGATGCCGTGTATTCAATGGCCGGGGAGAAAATTACGGAAATAAAAACCCACCGCACACAGTGCACACACACGCACATCCCCCATATACCATACAGTGCAAAATGCTCTGCATAACATACAGCACGCCCCCAATGCGCATGTACACAGAGTTATGAATTTTATCAATAATGTCCATAGAAAGGCCAGCATGAAAGACGCGTGTTGATTGGTCGCCTCCGCTAATTAATTAGGTGTCAAAACTTGTCACCAGGGCAATGTGCGTCTTCGCAGACTGCGTGGCAAATTCGGGGGTCTTGGTGGTGACTAGCGCGCCAAAACGAACAATTACATTCCCTAATTGATGATAGAATCTTTTCATTTTTCTGAAAGCGCAATTATCGCGGCCAGGCGGAGGGGAATATTTTGCCCGGCGACGGCGTTCTTCTTTGGAGGGACTCGCAAGGAGGCCCATCACTGCGTGGAGAAAATAAGCACAATGGTACTGCAGTGTACATCAGTTACTGATGCTGAATTAGATGCCAGCGAGCACTGTGATTAGAAACATCTCTGCACCGAATAAATCAAACATGCTCTTATTATTAATTCACATCAGAATTTTGACGTGAGCCGAATGTTGACAAAGAAACGATCGTGATATCAGCGAGGAAAGCATGATCGTGAGGAGCAGTATCAAAGCGAATCTATCAATGTAAATATTAGGTGGCCATGCGGGAAGGTGGTGTATTTTGTTTGAATAGTGCAGATTTTATATACATTTTTCGGGGTATAGATAACAACAGTTACATATTAACCAGATTTCCAAGCCGTAGTTATTATAATTACACAGACACGATGGTGCCTCGTCTACCCTATTAAATTGTTTCATATTGCTCTGATAATATTCCATTGAGGTAATGACATTAAAGATATGGGGAAATCGATTGGAAGAATTCGATAACCGTTATGATGGGCCTTGCGGCGGGCGAATATCCCGTCGTGTAGGCCTGCATCGTTAAAGCTACATAAGCGATTACAAACAATACAAGGTAGTGCATTCCAGTATGTAAAAAAGCAAACGTTAGAAGGAAATGTTATCCTCTTGTCCTGAGGTTGATGCAGCTTTTTCCCAGCATTTGTTTTGATTTTGTCACACTAGAAATCTGATTGACTTCGGGAACCACCCGAGTGCATGAGGATAGTGTGATACATGAGGCAAACGCCGCACGTCCAAACCCGCACCGTGCATGCTCCCGAGCCCCGTAACGTGCCGCCGCAAGCAGGCCGAGTTGACGACAAGCATACACATCTCCTTAAGACGATCTGTGGAATGCGGCCTTATTTACATTAAAATAATTGCTACCTGCCGGGTGGGCAGTGTGAAAAGTATTATATAATGAGGATTTTAACCGCAGTTCAATTGGCTTCAAACCACTATTCACCCAGCGCATGAATTTTTATATGGCCACGGCACACGGTCCGGGTACCGTGCTGTTTGTTGTGTCACAGTGCGGCATGTGTAACAGACCTGTTACACATATTGCATAGCAAGCGCTCCATGAATCTACTGTAGACTATAGTTCACGTGAATATGTTCGTCATCAGTAGGGCCTACTCGAGATTCTGAGAATAATTATGTAATAGTGGCATATTACTGAAGCCTTTCATTGACAAGTGCAGATGACAAATACTTCAATAATTGTTATGTGACCTTTTTACACAAAAAATGAGGACCTACGGCCCAAAGAAGTAGATGATGCACCACTGAGGGTTGTACCGTGGGAGAATAAAACGCGTGGTTTGTACCTTGAGTCGCTGTGAATCGCTAGATGGTGCAATGAGATCTTGGCAAGCATAAAAACCTCAGCAAGCCATTTCTGAGACCATTTTTTTCTGTCAACCTTGAAGAGGCACACCATACACTTGCATGTGCGTATCATACACTTCCTCCACACGCTTTCCCTACATCGTTTTAACAATAACATCTTGACGCAATCCTAAAATCTATTGCGAGCGCGCGTATACAAGGCCATTCAGCGTCCTTGATTTTCCAATGTCAGGCAACATGCCCACTCAGCGTGATGATCATGCATTGGCCATCTTGCCGAAGTCGTAAAGAGTGGTTAATATCATACCAGTTAAAAAAATCAGACATCATAAAACAATGAGAGCTGACAACATTATGAAATGTATATAACATAAAGGGTTCTCGATGACTGAGCTTGCTCTGAATAAGACAGGTTTGTTTGAGGACTTTAAAACGATGTCAGAAAACAGAGAATAGAAAGAACTATATTCTTACAAAACCATTTTTGAGGGGAGGGGAGAATGAGAATTTCGAACATTATAAGGGATAAAGCAAGGACAGTAAGCATTAGTAAAAGGAATCGGTGTTGTCTTTCACATTGCCTCTCTACAAACGCGGTCATCACTGCATGCCCGCGTTTCGGCATTACTCCACTCCGCACCACAACTGAATTTTGGAATGACAAACGCTTCTTTTGTTATTCACCTTTTATGAGCGCCTAAGAACTCTGTCATAACTGTTGCCTTCATTTGCGTACGTATAATCCCAAAGAGGGACACACTGGCTATTGCGGTTCATGCATAGCCGGCCTCCCATGGCGTCTAGGGAGGGGACGTGTCAGCGTGGTGTTGCTCGAAACAATCATTCAAACCAATTATCGAGGTAGTCAGAATTGAACATACAAATTTTGATCAAAGTACTGAGTGTCCAAGAAATTAACCCACGGCTAAAAGCTGTGATATCGTATTGGCCTATGCATTGACAACAAAATTGTACTACTAGCAACACGACTTCCTAGTAGCCTGAACTGATTTTGCACAAACTGTCTCATCAACCGCTCGAAACATCCCAATGATCTCAAAGATTTAGCCATACCTTCCAGACACTGTTCTGCAAAGTCGTTACATCAACTCAAAATGTCTAAACATTAATGCAAAGAAAACTCTTGACAGCTCAGCTCAGATTTGGGCTTGCAGCGTCTCTGTATAACTTACTGATTATTACATGCATCTTCAATGTATTCATAGGGGTCTGAGGAAGGTAGGGCCCTAAATTTTTATCTATCAACAGAAAAATATTTTAAATACATCAGTCTGCAAAGAAAACCCTATATGTATTTGGGTAAGTTGTCGATAGATACAAATACAAAAAAAAGTTCGATTACTATTTTAAACAGAACATAGGGCTTTTCCTCATCTTCTTGATTTGACAAAAAACACATTTGTTCATGCATTTGTAGATACATGCATATTTCAATTTCGCACTTTTCCCTTTGAAACATAATCCAGAGCTACAAAACAGTAAAGGAAAACAAACAAGAGCTATACTATGTCTGTTTTCAACAAAACACAGGGCTTTATCTGAACTTTGAGAAAAAAAATCACTTGCCATATAAGCATAATTAATGTGTTATGAGACATGTAAATTAAGAACAAAACGCGTACAAGACTGAGATTCGACTGAGATTGAGACGTCATCATAAGATTCACCTATAACACATCCCTGTCTACTAACATACAAAGAGTGAACCCAATCGGACCTGCTGTTCCAACTAAATTTTCATGACACCCGTTTTCTTTTGTAGTACGCGAGCTTCAGAATTGTGTTGTTGTATGAAATGACGTTGTGCATTTTCAGCGGGTCAACCTCAAACACCTATTTCCTCTTCCCGCAGCTCGAGAAAAGAACATCGAAAAACTGGGAAAGGTTTCTAAATGGACATCTTTCTTTCATGGCCGCAAACTGGGCTTTCAAATTGCCTCCCTGGTGTGCCTTATAGGGATCTTTAATGCATATATTTGGTGACGGGGAAGGGGTCTTTCGAGACCCAGTTTGCACCTATCCACTTCACTGCTGTAGCGTTTGTGCACCGAAATTACATACACATTGTACTTTGACGATACACAGGCTTCATGGGAGATGCTGGGATGTCCTTATCTCAACTTGTCACTACTTTTTACCTTTGACAGAGTTAAACCTTGGCTCTATTTTGGTCTATTCAGTCAGTTGACTCGGACCTGCATCTGCTCCATTTTTAATTAATTTATTTTTTACGATTTGAGGTGCCGCAAACGAAATGAAAAGAGCAGTTGAGATTCAACTTATATAACTAAGCAGCGTGGTGTTTAAATTCCTCTTACAAAATTAAGTAAATCAAAGTAAACATTGATTTCTCATGAATTCTGTTATTGAAGTTATTTCGACATACATTGGACAGGCCTGAGTTGAATCTCTGAAAATTTCCTCACCTTCGGCAAACAGCCGCGAACCGTTAAAAAAGACGAGTCACAATATTCTTCCTTTTCAGCAGCGCGCGAATTCGCTTTCTTCATCGACACAAGGAAAGGGCCCTTTAAATAAAGAGAGAAAATTCCAGAGAGAATCTATCAGTTATACCAGGTCAATTATCACAACCATCACAAGACGGACGGACGCGCGCGATGGAAAACGCATCGGGTAGGAGGAGGTTATTCTTAGACCTACGTGAAAGTATTGTACTTCATCTTCTCGCTCCCCCTTTTTTCCGTCAAGTTATAGGAAGTTCGATCGAAGCAACAACCCTTACCGCGGAGCAAGAAAAAGACGAAAAGAAAATACTAACTAACCGCTATTTAACAGATGATCGATCTCGTAGCAGTATGCATAATGTAAGGCGAAACTACCGGTTCGGCAATATCCATAAAGTGCAAGAGAAGCCGAAACGAAAAGAGAGAGGGAGAGAAGGGGGAGGGTAGGCCAAAACGCCTCTAGAAGGGGGGGGTGGGGAAACTTCAACATCTTTCCTCAGTTTTAACAATCATCCAGCAAGCCTTAGCGTAAGAGAGTACAAAGAGGGTAAAAGGCGGGGAAAGAAGCAACACGTGAACTAGAAAAGCCATTAGTTGTACAAGCACACAGCCACAATTATTAGTTACCGATTTTACGGCGCTACACTGTATTCGCCAGAGGACTGCTTAAAAGCAATGCGCATCACATTGCGTTTCAGCCACTTTGTTTTGTGTGCTAAGTATATTTTCTGTGCTCCATGAAACTGGCCCTTGACAAGCAAGAACTCAGGGCTACTACAAGTGGTTTCTACAGACTAAATGGGCAATAAGCTCTTCCTTCTCTGTAGTCCCACAATCGTACCCAGCTTATCGTGTAGCGCGCGTAGCACACATTTTATAAACCTCATTGAAGCACACGCAAATTACCTTGCTTGGCTATACACACCAAACACATTCACCTGGGGAGAAGTCAGTGGTCTGGTACAGTGGTCTGGTACATCTTTTGCAACCCCCAAAGTCATTTCTCAAACCGAACTGAACCTCTTTGGA